GTACTTCTTTTGGTAGAGTAGCAGCTTCTTCCCTTCTCGGTCCCGCTCCAGGTTCATGCCAAGGAACAACGTGGCTCTCGGGATCTGCTTCACCTGGAAGACAGCTGCAAGGTGAGCACACACTTCCTCAACTCCGTCCTCCAAAGCTCCAGCCACTAGGATGTCGTCGACGTAGAGTAGGAGGTAGACTTTTTTCTCCCCTTCCCCCTTCCAGTAAAATGCTCTGTCACACTGACTTTTCTTGAAACCTCCTTCGAGCAGGCGTGCATCCATAGCCTTGTACCACTCTCGAGGGCTTTGTTTCAGCCCATAGAGCGCTTTCAGCAGTTTGCATTTTCTGTCAGTTCCGTCCTCCATTCCTGTAGGCTGATCCATGTAGATGTCTTCTTGGAGTTCTCCGTAGAGGAAAGCGTTCTTGATGTCAAGTTGAACCATGATGTAGTTGCGTGCTGCCACAATCTTGAAGAGTGTCCTTGCTGTAGTCAATTTGCTGACAGGGGCGTATGTCTCCGTGTAGTCGATCCCCTCTACTTGCGTGTAACCTTTTGCCACGAGCCGTGCTTTGAACCTCTCAAGCTGCCCCTTATCCCCTGTTTTTTCTTGAAAATCCACTTGACGCCAACGGCATGCCTCTCTTCGGGCATTTGGACGAGTTTCCAAGTGCCTCTTTCTGCGAGAGCGTCCAACTCCTCTTGTATAGCTGCTTTCCACTGCTCCTTGTATGGTCCAGAGAGTGCTTCCTCGATGCTCAAAGGTTCCTGCGGCAGATTGTAAGTCTCTCTTCTTTCCTTGGTAATCAGCGCTGTCGCCGTTGAGGTGAGGAGGAGGTGAGTGTGCACGTCTTTCCAGCATGTCATCAGGACCTGTTGGTATTTCGGATTCGGCTTCTTCATCCGCATCCCTCTTCCCAGCTCCTCTCCTTTCACCGAAACATCACTTGCACTCGTGTCTGCTGCCATCTCCCCTGCTTTCTCTGTGCTAGAGCCTCCTTCTTTTCTCCCAATAAGAATAGCTCCTTCCTGCAGTAAGCTGTCAATTTCTGCTGCTCCTTGGTCGTTGTTGTTTGTCTCGAAGAACTCCCACGGGTCGCTTTTGCCCTCTGTACTTGGCTGACCTACACTTTCAGCTTCATTCCCTCCCATGTCTTCATGTGTGTCTCTAACTGATTGTTGCAGAGGTGGAGTTGTAGGAGCCGCTTCCATGTCACCGTTGGCGAGCATATCCGCAGTTGGCTCCCACACCCAATCCACTCCAGCTTGGGTATGTTCCTCCTCATATTATTCCCCTTCGTCGTTTGCTGTCCCCAAGCCTTCGTTTTGGTCATCTTCAAGTAGTTCCTCCACTCGTTGAGGTGTGGCAGGTGCTGTCCCTGGAGTTTCGCCCTTGTTGCTTGCCTTCCAGTCCAAGTAGTTGAGTTTTTCGTAGAATGTCACGTCTCTGGTCGCCAGTACTATCCCGGTCTCCACGTCCTTGATGATCCAGCCCTTACTCTCTGGACATGTTCCCAAGTGCACCCCCCACCTTGCCCTTGGCAGAAGTTTGTGATCAGCTCCAGCAGGGGGCCTGTACTGCGTCATACAACCCCACACTCGAAGAAACTTCAGGTTTGGCTTCCGTTTGTAGAATGCTTCGTGAGGTGTCTTGTCCGCTACAAGTCCTTTTGTCGGTAGGCGATTTTTCAGCCAGCAAGCCATGCCCAGCGCGTCTCCCCAGTAGGTCAGAGGTAGCTTGCTGTCTGCTATCATGCTTCTCACGCTGTTGAGCAGTGTCCTATTCATCCGCTCCGCAATACTGTTGTGTTGAGGGGTATGGGGAATAGTACGCTGCCGTCGTATTCCTTTGGCTTTCAGGTAGTCGTTGAACTCCTTGTTGATGAACTCCCCACCGTTGTCAGTTCGAAGTACTTTCAGCTGCTTGCCGCTTTTTCGTTCAGCTTCCGCCAACCAGTCCACAAAACTCAGAAAACCCTGAGTTTTATCTTTCAGTTCCGTCACCCATGTGAGTCTTGTGCCGATGTCTGTGAACGTGACAAAGTATCTGCTGCCATGTCGTGATGTGACCCTCATGGGACCGCATACATCCGCTGCCACCACTTCCATTGCCCCATATGGCTCCTTTGGTCCATGTCTTGGATGGGGAGCCTTGGTAGCTTTCCCTTCGACACATGAGTCGCACTTCGTATGAGTTTCCTCAGCATCATTCACCTTCACTCCTGCTGCCATATCTTTCTTCATCATTTCCTTGATCCGTTGAGTGCTTGCATGCCCCATCCTCTTTTGCAGGAGATTTATGTCAACAGTTTTTGCCACTGCTGCCACTGGGAACTTCAGCTGCTGCAGCTCAGTCACTGCAGTATTTTCCAGCATGGTGTGTAGCTCTTCTCGGCCCTTTTTCCCTTCTTCAGGTTCAGGTTGATAGATAAGCTTGTTCTCACGAGTATCTTGCTCCTTCAGCTTCATCTCGTAGAGTCCTTCAGTCCGAGCGCCTTCCGCTATCAGTTTCCAGTTGGGACCGAACACCCACAGCTTTCCATTGTCACTGAAGGTCTTGCAGCCACTGCTGTCCAGTTGCGTTTGACTGATAAGGTTAAGGGACAGCTTCTTCACCAGTAGAACGTTGTCCATTTTCAGCTCCCCATAGGGACTCTGTAAGATCAGGTCCCCTTCTCCTTGTACTTGAAGTTTCCCTTCGTCCCCGAGAAGGACATAAGGTACTCCGGATTCCCGGTAGTTGCATAGCCAATCAGCTCGGTGTGCCATGTGCTGTGTACACCCGTTGTCCATAAACCAAGCCGTTTCCTTGAACCCTTTTGCCAGCAGGCACACCTCGGATGCTGGAGCAACGTTGGCTTTGTGGGCGCCTCCAAGGATGGCGTCAACCTTTGGCGTTTCTTCCACAGCTGCAGGTGCCTCCATTAGGTTTCTCTTCGCTGCTGCTGCTGGCCTTTGTTGTTGCAGCTCCTTTCCTCGGAAATTTCTGCTAAATCGGTTGTTGTAGCAATCGAAAGCTTTGTGCCCATATTTGCCGCAATGGTTGCAATTTCCATTGAAACCTCCGCTTGCCTTGTAGCCTTCTCCACGCCTTGCATCGTTGTTTTGTTGCCACTGTCATTTCCCTTTGTAGTTTCTTCCATTGGGGCTGGAATAACAGTCGGCAGCTTTGTGCCCCTTCTTCCCGCAGTTGTAGCAGTTGCCAAAATCTCTTGGTGTTGCAGTTGCGTTCAGATTTGCAGGCCTGTTGACCTCTGCTGCCGTTGCCACTGCTTCCCTTCTTTTCAGGTCAGATTTGACCAGCTCAAGCGCCTGGAGGGTCTCGAGCAGCTGGGTCATATCCTTGGGCGTGTTACAGGTAAGGATTCCGATCTCTGCAGTCCATTCCTTGGGTAGGCCGCTGATTATGTAACTCATCATGTGTTTTTCAGGTTCCGGCGCCCCCATTGCCTTGAGATCGTCGTTGTAGCTCTTCGCTCTATTAACGTAGTCAATGATCTTCTCCGATGGCTCCATTGCAAGTAGCAGCAGTTTCTTTCTCACTGCAGTCAGATTCGTGTCCGTCCGTCCGAGATACACCGCTTCCATGTATGTCCATGCGCGTTGTGCTGAGTTTATGTCGTCTGCAAACTGGTCCAGCCCCACAGCGATGGAATCTGAAACCGAGTGGCACAGTTGGAAGAAGGCTTGTAAGCTCTTCTTCTTGTTTGCCCTCTTTTCTTGTGCCGTTGCCGTTGCAGGTGGAGGTACTCCTTCCTCCGTTTCCTCATCCGCTTTGTAGAAGTGCCAAGTGTCAATCTCTCTCGCCCGCCGCATAAACTTCAGTCGCCATGTGCTGTAATTGTTGCCGTTGAAGCGTTGCGCCTCACTTAGGCCAATCGTTGGCCTCGCCACCATTTGCCCTTGTGCAAGGGCCTCCAAGAGGGCTTGGACTTGGGGAACTTCAGCACTGACTGAAGAACCCGAGCTTGCCTCACCATCCCCGTTCGGCATGATGCAGGAACTTGTCTTGGCCCTTCTTGAATGCTTAACACGCACCGGAACTGGCTCTGATACCAGCTCTTAGACTCAGTCGTAGTGAGTACGTGACTTAGGAGTCACGAAAGTAGCAGTAGCGGGCTTCAAACTGAATCCCAAAGTTGAAGAAACAGGTTGCTTTCCAACCCAGGTTGCAAAGAGAAAGTTTCACTATGAAAATTTGATACAAAGAGGAAAACAGAACATGATATTTAAGCAATCCGAAATCCGAATTTCAAAGGGCGCCTCGTGTAACGCGCCTCGTCGCGAATCCGAATTTCGTAACAGTAACCGACGTTGAAAACCGAAATTCAAACTGAGCCGTCGTTGAAACCGACTTTCTTCAACTCCACCGAACACCGCCTCCGGAATGGTTGGGAAAATTTCTGGCGGTTGAGAACGTTCTTCCCTCTCTCTCTCCTGAAACCCTCGTTTTCACCAGCTGCTCCTCACGATCTTCTCAGCTAGCTCCTCCCACCGTCAGAACTCATTGTCCAGCCTATTCTCTCCCACCGCCATAGGTAAGGCAATTTCCAAGTGTCCTGTTCTGTCGTTTTCACGCTCTAGAGTCGGTGCAGCGGCTAACCACCTCTAACAGAACCTACACAGAGGACTTTGACGTTGAATTCTTTTATACCTGCAGATCTGACAGGGGAACACTGGAGGGGGCTGAGGCGAGGAGAGTTGGACGGGGGGTTTGAGGAAGCTTAGGGAAGGTGTGGGCAGCTCGAGGGAACAGAGGGGGTGGATGCTTGGCTTTAAGGGACGAAAGAGCAGCTATAGGGGACGGAAGAGAATTTAGAGTGGAGTAATAGAGAGAGAATTACAGATAAATCAAATGGAACAAAATCAAAATATTTTTGCGTCGACTAGTAATTGCATGTCGAGTTGATGCTGCGTCACGTTCAATGATTCAAAGCCTACGCAACACGTATTTTAGAAAGTTTGCTGCGAATCAGTTGAAAATTTGAGATCCGGAAACATCAAATATACATGATTATTAAAACATTAGATATTTTCCCAGTGTCTCTCCCATTGGTGCAGATAGCAGGAGGGCACTGCTACCTGCTCGGGTTGACCTGCGCCAACGAGCCTCACGGCAGGTGAGCGCACACAGTAGTAATGTGAGTGATAAGCTTAGTGGCGCGATAGTGTCTCTCCCAGTGGTGCAGATCGCAGGGGGCACTGCTACCTGCTCGGGTTGACCTGCGCCAACGAGCCTCACGGCAGGTCAGGCTAGTGCTCAGTTCAGTGCTGTGGTGAGCGTGAGACCAGTGGTGCAGATAGCAGGAGGACACTGTTACCTGCTCGGGTTGACTTGCGCCAAGGAGCCCCACGGCAGGTGAGGCTCGTGATACTCCCAGTGGTGTCCTGTGGTGAGATCAGTGGTGCAGATAGCAGGGGGGCGCTGGTAACTGCTGGGATTGACTTGTGCCAACGAGCCTTATGGCATTTGAGCCTAGTGATTCGCGCAGTGGTGTGATGAGCCGTGGACAGAATGGTATTGGCCATGGTACAGAACGGTGCAGATAGCAGGCAGGAGGGGCACTGCTGCTTGCTCGTGTTGACTTCTCTGCCATGTCCTGTGACCTGTCATCCATGTGTGCTCGGCTGAATGCTAGTGCTCGGCTGAATGCTAGTGCAACAACATCAGCTGAATTATTGATCGAAGATGGGCTTAAAGAGAACGGTGTTTCTTAGTTGGTGTTTGGAAAATGTGTGTAGTGGTCACACTTGTATTAGGACGGAGTTGTGTGTAAGCTTCCCAATTCTCCAAGTTATTACTACGCTGCACTATAGGATGGGAAGCTGTTCGTTTCGTTGATAAGCTAGGTTATTTGTCTCCCACCAGTTTCCTTCCTCCTCTCTCTTCTCCCCTCCTTTCCTCAGGTCTGTCTGGTCCATTGGCTGTGGTCTGGGCGGCAAGCTAGGCCACGGCACAAAGTACGACGAATGCCGCCCGAAAGAGATCGCACACTTTAAAACCCTAGAGTTCGCCCCCACAGCCGTTGCTGCAGGCGCATGGCATGCTGCTGCTGTTGCTACTGACGGGAGAGTTGCCACGTGGGGGTGGGGCAGGCATGGGTGCCTGGGGCATGGGAAGGACCAGTGTGAAACGCTGCCCAGGGTTATTGAGAGCTTGTGTAAAACGGAGGAGGAGGGGGGTAGGAGTAGTGGGGTGAGTGGAAGGGGCGGTGTTGGCGTTGGTGCTAATGATGCTGCTGGTTCTGGTGGTTCTGCCTCTACCTCTGCTTCTGCTGCTTCTCCCTCTGCTGCTGCTGTTTCTCCATCTGGAGCTGGGGCGGGTTTCAGCAAGGATGACTCGCACGGTTCACGTGGCAAGCTCCGTCCAGCTGTGAAAGCATGCCACGTGGCAGCAGGGGATTACACAACGTTTGTGGTGGGGGAGGGCGGCGAGGTGTGGTCGTTTGGGAGCGTGGAGAGCCCGTGTTTGGGGCATGGCGGCGGGTGGGAGAGGGAGGAGGAGGAGGAAGGGGAGGAGATAGACGATGCTGATCTTCATGATATCGTGGTGAGTAGTTGTTTTAGGGTCATGGGGACAAATGCATGTGTGGTTTTATTATGAAGACGAGGTGTGTTGGTCGTTTGGGAGCGCTGAGGTTACGTGTTTGGGGAATGGGGGTGGGGGGGGAGAGGGAGGAGGAGGAGGAAGGCGAGGAGATAGACAAAGCTGATCTTCACGACATCGTGGTGGGTCTTTTTGTCTTTTTCTTTTGGCCTCAAACGCCAATGCTGAAGCCTTTTTGGCACGGTGTTTTTGATCACGGTCTTCACGACATCGTGGTGGGCCTTTTCGGCACGGTGTTTTTGAGAATGATAAAAAACACTTTGAAGCCCTTTTTCGCACGTCTTGTTGCCTCAAACACGTTCCAGCTCCGCCCAGAAATGTCTGTTTGCCCTGTTTTCTATGTGGAATGTGCTTGTGCTGATAAGGGCTAAGATTTCATCAATTCATGCTTCATCACCCGCGCCCCCTCACTCCCCCCACCACACCACACACAATGACCTCTTCTTTCATCCCTTTCCTTCTCACCCCACACATCCACACTCCGCACACCCTCACCAACTGCGGCAGCACCAGCGGCGCTGTCGGGATGTGATGCAGCCGAGGCGGGTGTCTCTGCTGGAAGAGCGAGCTACCCACCCCCCTGCTCCTTTGCCCCCTCACTCTCACTTCATCCCCCTCTTTTTCCCCAACCCTCATCAGTTGCGGCAGCACCGGCGGCGCTATCGGGATGTGATGCAGCCACCCGCGGCGGGTGTCTCTGCTGGAGGAGCGAGCTACCCACCCACCTGCTTCTCTTACCCCTCTTGCTCTTCCCTCTCCCTTACACTGCCCACTCCCCCCACATTCTCCTAGTTGCGGCAGCACCGGAGGTGCAACCAGGATGTGATGCAGCCCAGGCGAGTCTCTCTGCTGGAGGAGCGAGCTGCCCAACCCCCTGCTCCTCTACCCGCTGCCCCTGCTGCCGCTCCTGCTGCTAGTCCTGCTGCTGATGCTGCTGATGCTTGTGCAGCACTCGAGGCTTCTGCCAACCCGCTTGTTCCTGCTTCTGCTGCCACCCCTCCTGATGCTGCAAGTCCTGCCGCGGCCACTGGTGTTGCTGCCACACAGCTAGGCCGGGGACCTGCCGGTGCAAGGGGCAGCGTGAGAGGGCGGTTTACGTGGGGTAGTCTGCCCGCTTCTGCCACTTCAGGACGAGGGAGAGAGTCTGCAACAACTCCATATGCTGCTGCTGATGCCGCCACTACTTCTGCTGCTAATACTACTTCTGCTGCTGCTGCTTTTGCTGCTGTTGCTGATGTTTCTGGTCCTGCTGATCACGCCATTTCTATAACACCGGTAATTACCAGCAGCGCTGACAGTGGGAGTGGGAGTGGCAGTGGCAGCGGTGGCGCTATGGCTGTGAGTTTGAGTGAGTGGATGAGCAGTATAGCCTGCAGCAGCAACTCTGGCCCGGATAGCCCCTTCGGCAACAGCAGCAGCAGCACTAACAGCAACAGCAACAGCAGCAACAGCAACGGAAATGGCAACAGGAGCACCAGCGACGCTGCAGCCGGTAGCAGCAGCAGGAGAGGTACAGTGGTGCAGATAAGTACATCGAATGCCGGCCACTTTGACGCTCACATGCTGGCACTGACCAGTGATGGCAGGGTGCTGGCATGTGGGGGCGGGAGTAAGGGGCAGCTGGGGGCGCCCCCTGCTGCAGGGGATACCTCTTTCCCCCAGTTCGTGAAGGGGCTGCTTCTGTGAGTGTCATTGCCTGGAAGAGTGGCGTTGACCTGCGTTGACTAGAGTTGACCAGGAACGGCAGGGTGCTGGCTTGTGGGGGCGGGAGTAAGGGGCAGCTGGGGCCACCCCTGCTGCAGGGGATACGTCCTTCCCTTAGTTTGTGAAAGGGCTGCTTCTGTGAGGGTCTTGGGCTGGATGAGTGCTGTTGACCATCGTTGACCAACGTTGACCAACGATGGGTGTTGCTGACATCTGTTGCTGGCGCTTTGTGCCAGCCAAGAACATCGACCATCATTGACTGGCCTTGGATGGACTGAGATTGCAGGGGACAAGTGTGTAAGCAGTGCTGCACAGCCAGCCACAGGAGGTTCAGGCAGAGAGCCTCTGTGAAGAGATGGTGGAAATGGTGTCATCACAAAAACCCCCCTATTAGATTGGTCAATATTTGGACCAATTTTGGTGTTTCCGTCCAAAATCGGGCCATTATTGGTCTCATTGTGTGGACCAATATTGGTATAGTTGCTAAGATGAAGTTTGGGCTATGTTTGGCCAAACTTTAGATGAGTTTGAGGACCATTTTTTAACCAAATCTACTCTCAGCTTTAACCCAAGTTGGACCAAACATGGTCCCAAACTAGAGTCTGGGTGGGCCCAATACAAAACTGCCATTTGCATGAAATTTCATTTTAAAAACCATTTTTATTGCAAAAACAAATTACAGCATAATGTACCTCCAGATATAGCAAAACAATACCGAACGACTGTATTGCTCCTACACTACCACATCCTTCTACTGAGGCTACTGCTAGTTGCTGCTTCCATACATATGCCCCTGATGCTGCTACTGATTGTTGCTGCCAGTGCTATGCTCCTCCGCACCTGTCCCCCTCCTGCCCCTGCTGCTCCGCACCTGTCCTCCTGCTGCCCCTGCTGCTCCGCACCTGTCCCCCTGCTGCCCCTGCTGCTCCGCACCTGTCCCCCTGCTGCCCCTGCTGCTCCGCACCTGTCCCCATGCTGCCCCTGCTGCTCCGCACCTGTCCCCATGCTGCCACTGCTGCTCCGCACCTGTCCCCATGCTGCCACTGCTGCTCCGCACCTGTCCCCCTGCTGCCACTGCTGCTCCGCACCTGTCCCCCTGCTGCACCTGATGCTTCGCACCTGTCCCCATGCTGCCCCTGCTGCTCCGCACCTGTCCCCATGCTGCCACTGCTGCTCCGCACCTGTCCCCATGCTGCCCCTGCTGCTCCACACCTGTCCCCATGCTGCCACTGCTGCTCCGCACCTGTCCCCATGCTGCCACTGCTGCTCCGCACCTGTCCCCATGCTGCCACTGCTGCTCCGCACCTGTCCCCCTGCTGCCCCTGCTGCTCCGCACCTGTCCCCATGCTGCCCCTGCTGCTCCGCACCTGTCCCGTTGCTGCCACTGCTGCTCCGCATGTCCCCATGCTGCGGCTACTAGTTGTTACTGCCACTGCTACGCCCCTCCGCACCAGTCTCTGTGTTGCTCCTGCAGGTTGCTATTGCGACTGCTACGCTACTCCGCACCTGTCTCCCTGCTGCTCCTGCAGGTTGCTATTTCCACTGCTACGACCCTCTACACCTGTCTCCATGCTGCTCCTGCAGGTTGCTACTGCCACTGCTACGCCCTGCACCAATCCCCCTAGTGCTGCTGCAGATCTCTGTGATTACGGGTTTGGGGTGACAGCCCGGGCTGGTGCAGGTCGTGCAGCCTGTGCAAAGAGGCATAGGGGACGGAAGGGGACGGAAGGAAGGGGACGGATGAGATAGGAGGAAGGGGACGGATGAGATGGGAAGAAGGGGACGGATGAGATGGGAAGAAGGGGACGGATGAGATGGGAGGAAGGGGACGGATGAGATGGGAGGAAGGGGACGGATGAGATGGGAAGAAGGGGACGGATGAGATTGGAAGAAGGGGACGGATGAGATGGGAGGAAGGGGACGGATGAGATGGGAGGAATTCAGCAATGCTGGTGCCACAGCAAGATCTTGGTGCCACATAAGCAAAGTGTCGGTGCCATATCAGCAAGGTTTTGGTCCTAGGGATGACTTACCTGCACCCTGCTGACAAGGGTCTCCATGTCAGAGGCGTCGATGTAGACGCCGTTGGGGAAGTTGAATGTGTTCGTGTTGCTGGCGTATGGGACACCATGGTCAATGACAGCGATCTCGACCTCTCGCTTCACACGGGTGCACATCTCCTCGTACTGGATCCGATTGTACTCCCACTTGCCGCTCAACTTCCCATCAGGTGCGTTGTTGAGGATTGGCCACTCAAACTGTAGGAATGTGGTGGGTATGAGGTGGGAATGTAGTGGAATAAATGAACAGAAAAAGGTTAACACAGCACTAAATCGCTCATCGCACACGTGGCAACAAACATAACAACATGTCCATAAACTCACCGCATATAGGATCCAACCCAGCTGGCGGGTCTTAATCTTCTCGGTATTGACCCCACGACGCGCCAAAGCCAACTTGATGGACACCGAGAAGATGAGGCGGCCGAAAGGGATGAGGAGCTCCCGATGCCATGCCAGCCCCCTCTCCCCTGAAATGGGATTGCGTGGTCATAGGAAACAAAGGGATGAAAGGTGCTGACATTATGGTGACTAGAGGGCAACCGAAAGGGGCAATGTGGAACAAAGTAGTGCTTATAGAAATTATTGCTACACACATAACAACAACTGCGGGATCAAAAGCTTCATACAAACTCACCATCCTTGTAACGTGCGATGAGCTCCTCATCCGTGTAGAACTCGAGTGGTGCAAGCAGATCTGCTGGTAACCTCCCCAAGTAGCACCTGTTCGCCTGCCGACCCAACGCCGTTAGTGCCACCTTTCTCATCCAGCCGTTGATAGAAGTCCTAGTTGAGGACAGCTGCTTGAAAAAGACCCCTCTGGTGCTGGCATCGTTGTGCTGAAAGAGCACACGCAACGAGGCCAGAACCTGTGGCGACACAAACTCGCTAAACCCATGATCTAAAGCCTCCTCCGCAGATGGGTAGAACTGAATCATTGAAGCTTCAATGTTGAAGCAAAGATGTGTTGCTACACGCCTAGACAATTCCTGTAGATTGAAGGGGGATAGGGGAGGTGGCAGATATGGAAGGCAAGCGGTAAGGGTTTGCAAGTGGCTATTCGGGTTGAGGGTAGAGGGCGGGGAAGAAGTGGGGAAGCAAGTGGGGTTTCGGGTTGATGGTAGAGGGGGCAGACAGAGCATAAGTCATAGTTTAGGTAAAGCCTCACCTCCCTAAACCTGGATGGGAAGCAAGTGGGGTTTCGGGTTGAGGGGAGAGTGGGCAGTCAGGCAGAGGGGAGTTGGGGTTTAGATAAAGCCTCACCTCCCTAGGCCTGTATTTAGGGTAGCAGGTGGGGTTTCGGGTTGAGGGGAGAGTGGGCAGGCAAGCAAGAGGGGAGTTGGGGTTTAGGTAAAGCCTCACCTCCCTATGCCTGGATGGGGAAGCAAGTGGGGTTTGGGGTTGAGGGGAGAGTGGGCAGGCAAGCAGAGGGGAGTTGGGGTTTAGGTAAAGCATCACCTCCCTAAACCTGGATGGGAAGCAAGTGGGGTTTAGGGTTGAGGGGAGAGTGGGCAGGCAGGCATAGGGGAGTTGGGGTTTAGATAAAGCCTCACCTCCCTAGGCCTGGATTTAGGGTAGCAGGTGGGGTTTCGGGTTGAGGGGAGAGTGGGCAGGCAAGCAAGAGGGGAGTTGGGGTTTAGGTAAAGCCTCACCTCCCTATGCCTGGATGGGGAAGCAAGTGGGGTTTGGGGTTGAGGGGAGAGTGGGCAGGCAAGCAGAGGGGAGTTGGGGTTTAGGTAAAGCATCACCTCCCTAAACCTGGATGGGAAGCAAGTGGGGTTTAGGGTTGAGGGGAGAGTGGGCAGGCAGGCAGAGGGGAGTTGGGGTTAAGGTAAAGCCTCACCTCCTTATACCTGGATGGGGAAGCAAATGGGGATTCGGGTTGAGGGGAGAGTGGGCAGGCAGGCAGAGGGGAGTTGGGGTTTAGGTAAAGCCTCACCTCCCTATGCCTGGATGGGGAAGCAAGCGGGGTTTTTTGTTGTGGTTAGGAGGTGCCTGGATGGCACAGAATGTGTCAGTGTTAAGGAAAAGCTTCAACTCTCTAGTTCCAAGCAGGGGAAGCAAATGGGGCTTATGATTGAGGGGAGAGGGGGCAGACAGGTCGAGCAACAATCTAGGAAACGCACACACAGTGTATCACAGGGAACGCACCTTGAAGTCGACTACCGCTTTGTAGACGATTTCGCGATGGTTTGCCAGGGGACTATTGCTGGAGGGAAGGCCTTCTGACGAGCTGGTGCTCGGGCCAGAATGAGGAGGAGTTGCTGCAGGCGCTCCGATTGGGACGGATGGACCAGCACCCCGAAGTATGGCCGACAGCATCTCGGCGAACCTTGCCATCACGCGTCGCTCGAATTGGTCAAGCTCCACGTTTGATACACCACCATGCTCCTGGCGGCGATCACAGGATGCCGCCACAAACGGGGTTTTCTTGACGGGGACGAGCTCATAGCGCTTGGTGGCTTCAGTGATCACCTTCACCGGTGGTGCAGCTCCAGAGTACTGATTGGTAGCTGCTGATTGTATACGGGACGGAAGAGATGGAGGAAAGGTGACTGAGGGACGGGTCAGAGGTGACGGCAGGGATGGGATGAAGGGGACGGCAGGGATGGGATGAAGGGGACGGCAGGGATGGGATGAAGGTGACGGCAGGGATGGGATGAAGGTGACGGCAGGGATGGGATGAAGGGGACGGCAGGGATGGGATGAAGGGGACGGCAGGGATGGGATGAAGGTGACGGCAGGGATGGGATGAAGGTGACGGCAGGGATGGGATGAAGGGGACGGCAGGGATGGGATGAAGGTGACGGCAGGGATGGGATGAAGGGGACGGCAGGGATGTAATGAAGGTGACGGCAGGGATGGGATGACGGTGACGGCATGGATCGGAGGAAAGCGACGGCAGGGAAGGGAGGAAAGCGACGTGACATCAGCAAGCATGCCACAAATAAAAAGATGTACCATCCCGCAGTGCTATACAATGCGGCAAAAGTCTGACCTTTGGTTTTTGTGTTGGCCTGCTTAGTGGTCGGTTTAGCCCCAGCGCCTGCCTTGGCCTTTACGCCGCTGGTCCCAGCGCCTGCCTTGGCCTTTACGCCGCTGGTCCCAGCGCCTGCCTTGGCCTTTACCCCGCTTGCCCCAGCGCCTGCCTTGGCCTTTACCCCGCTTGCCCCAGCGCCTGCCTTGGCCTTTCCCCCGCTGGTCCCAGCGCCTGCTGCCGTAGGAGTTGACTTCGGTTTGGCCGACACTTCACCGGTGTTCTGCTTTTTCTGCGCACCGCCAACCACCAAGGCGAACTCCCGTTTCGACTTCCCACCGAGAATACTCTCAGTCGCCAGAACTTTCTCCTTTCCCTTAGCCGATGTGACTGCATCTTTCCCTCGTGGTGGCTTAGCAGGAACCTTAGAGGGTTCTGAACGCGGAAGAGGTTTCACACCCTTTCTAGCGAGCTTCGAGCTGACAACGGGTTCCTTGATCTCATCGAGTGCCTTCAGCTTCCCAAGCAGCATAGAACGTTCCTCAGCCACAGCCTCATCCTCCATGTCTTCGTCATCACCGTCACCCTGCTCTTCCAGCATCTCGTCAAAGCTAGCCTTCCTCGTGATCTGAGGCTTGTGCGCATCCGCACCTTCCTCCACTTCCGCCGAATCGCCTTTCTCACTTCCCTTCTCAGCCTCGTCCTCATCCCCCTGCCCTTCCTCAGACTCCTCGTCCTCCTCTTCCTCCGCCTCGTCATCCTCCTCTTCCTCCGCCTCGTCACCCTCCTCTTCCTCCGCCTCGTCACCCTCCTCTTCCTCCGCCTCGTCACCCTCCTCTTCCTCCGCCTCGTCACCCTCCTCTTCCTCCGCCTCGTCACCCTCCTCTTCCTCCGCCTTCTCTTCAGCATCGTCCTCCGCCAAGTCTTCCTCTTCCTCTTCCGGCTCGCCGCCGGCATCGTCTACTGCCTCGTCCACCTCGTTTTCGCCCACGTCACCCGACTTGTCGTTGGCCTCAGCTTCGTCCTCGTGTTTCTGGTTGTCCACATCGTCGCCATCAAGGTTGTTCCCGGCAGACTTAACAGGATCAGCACCTTCTTCGGTAGCATCCGCCCCTTCCTCAAACCACACTTTCGCCTTTCGAGGGCGGCTGGACTTGCGAACCTCGCCACCAGGAGGGCCGTCACCGCTAGATGACCGGGGTTTGGGTGCAGCCTCCGTGCACTTCTTCTTCGTACCATTCTGCACCTTGCCTGGACTTTGCACGGGGCCACCCGTGGCAGTGTTTTTCTTGGTCACCGCCTTCGAGACCTGCAGTTTAGTCGACATGTTGCGCAACAGCCCCGGGAAAGATGATAGGACGTTAGAAATCCGGAACTGCAGGGACTAATTGTAGCGGAAGAGGGGATCGGTACTTACTACATTTATAATGGACCCTTTTATAACAGGATATGTATCGCTTAAACGACCAAGGAACTCGATGAAGAGACGTACCTTTGAGCGATACGGTCGCAGTCACGATACGGGTCGCCAAGTAGCATGATTCCGGAACGGCTAGTTTCATGATGGGTCGGCGCGGCACGCTTATAACGATGGGGTGGTGGATGGCGTGAGCGGCGCCGCGAGTTGCCATGAATGGAGGCGGTGGTGAGTGAGATTATGGAGCTCTCACGGTACTGTCACGGCTGAGGGTAAGACAGTGAGATGCACATCGATACGTGCAACAATGCGCGGCCGTCTAATGCGGACCGACGGTAAGAAAATGAGAGCGCGACGTCGCGGATATTAGGCACTGAAAAGCCGCGCCGTGTTGCTGACTGAGGGGAGCATGAGTTAGTCTCTGAAAAAAGAGGGGGGAAAGGTGACCGGACCTAAGCCAACGGGAAGGAGTTGGTGTTCCTGCGTCGTGATTGCTATCACGAGCGGTAGCTTGAGACCACAGCATCGTGTGAGACGATGCTCGCTCAGACTCTGCCAGGCGTTACCGTGGGCTGTGCAACGAGGTTCACGCGCTCACGTTGGTTTTGTACAAGACGACAAGTGCGACCTTACCCACCTGACAGCATTGCGGTTTACCGCCACAGCGTGGCAATTCCACACTGTTTAGTTTTGTTGTTTTCGAATTCTGTAGAATATTTTGCCACCGAATTTTTATTTGTTACGGTAGGAGCGTTTGGGAGTCCGTCTCGCCAAGATTGTAGTATTAGGTGAGTAACAACGGTTGAGTGTGAGGCTCCTAGTTACGCCCTGTTTTAGTTAAGTCGAGTGTTTCACGCTGTTTCGAGTGATGCCTTGTTTCGGCTGTTTCGAGTACTGGCATGTCCTCCAAATGAAAAAAAAAGCCACGAAAATAAAATAAGGATAGACTGAGTGTGGTGAAGCAGGTTCACCGTACTGTACGGTTGCACCAGGCTTGGCACATTTATTCGCGCAGCCCGTAGCACCTCCAAAATATCGAGCTTAGACGGATGTCATCGGTTGGATGAACAAATGGCTGCTTCCCGACCCCACCGAAACTTAGCGCTATACGTGCAGCATCCGCGTTTTTCACTGGGTAAAATTTTACAGACAACATTAGCTGGAAACGACTGCCAACTGGCCACGTGGGAAGTTTCGCCTACTTAACAAAACTCCAAATGCATTGCAGTTGTCCTTGTCTTGTTTCTGTCGAAAGCTCCCGTGGCGTTTTCGCCACAACATTTCGCTGCCCATCACGCGATGATGACTTCGCATGCCCCAAGTACAGTATTCCTAAGAGTGGCTGAGGCTACCGCAGTAGTCGCGGTGCTCAGTTAAAATATCGCTGGAACACAACATCTACGCTAGCTACAGGTTTCAGAAAAGTGAAACATATCGAAAACTACCGAAATTTCGGAACTTACAAGTGGTCATAAGGCAGTCTTGTCATTTTAAATAACAACAAACAAAACCAGTTGGCAACGGGAGACTGTGAACACTTTGAGGTAAAACCAAAGCACCAATTAAAAACGAGACTGCTCTGACAGGCAGCATAGTTCATACAGAAATGATACATTATGGGATCATTCTACAGAGACACTACACTGTCAAGTAGCTAAGTAATAAACCAGTCATAAAATGGTGTTAAAGTTCTAGCAAGGCTTAGGAGCCATGGCTAGTTAGATCGAGTGAGTTGAGTTCGAGAAAGTTGAAAAGGAGAAAAGAGTCGAGAGAATGAGGGGTTTCACTATAGGTTCAAGGGTACAAATATGAGAGAACAAGCAAGAAAGGTGCACCACCAAATAGGAAAACGCTATAACTACAGTAACCAATCCTTTAGGCAGTTATATATAGAAAATATTAAATTATATTTTCCGACAAATGGCATAGTCTTAGATGTGACTAAAGGATGGATATGTTGAAGGTTCCTTCGTCACGGTCTGCATCGCGACGTCCCTGACAGCAATGTTTGGATTGTAGGGTAAGTGATATGTAATCGAGAGGGGGAATGACATAGTAACCATGATTTCCTACCCTATACATTTTGGACAGAGCGCATTCTTTGTGGGGTTACTCTAAGTAGTGTTGTGAACCTTCCATCCCATTTTCAGCTCCTGCGGAGCACTCTAGGTTGGTTGTTTGGATGATGAGCTAGTGTAGCTCATGATGCTACCGAATGCTGTTCTGTACAAGTTCTGGGCAGGCTTATGGGGAAATGCGTCGATTGATAGCCTAGACATTTTGGATTGGGATGCACTCCTGGGAGGATCTTATTAATGGTATCATGATCCTCCCATCCCAAAATGGGCCTCGTCGGAGCACATTTGGTTGGTCGTTCGACAAACGTGCTACCGAATGCTGTTCTGTACAAGTTCTGGGCAGGCTTATGGGGAAATGCGCCGATTGATAGCCTAGAAATTTTGAATTGGGATGAAATCGTGAGAGGATGTTAGTAATGGTATCATGATGCTCCCATCCCAAAATGGGCCTCGTCGGAGCACGTTTGGTTGGTCGTTCGACAAACGTGCTACCAAATGTTGTTCTGTACAAGTTCTGGGCAGGCTTATGGGGAAATGCGTCGATTGATTGCCTAGGCATTTTGGATTGGGCTGAACTCCTAGGAGGATGTTACCAATAGTATCATGAGCCTCTCATCCCAAAATGGGCCTCGCCGGAGCATGTTTAGTTGGTCGTTTGACAAACGTGCTACCTAAGGCTGTTCTGTACAAGTTCTGCACAGGCCTATGGGGAAATGCGTCGATTGATAGCCTAGAAATTTTGGATTGAGCTTATTCTTTGTGTGGTGGAGTTAGTTAGTGCTATGAACCTTCCATCTCAATCTCAGCTCCTGCGGAGCACCCTAGGTTGGTTGTTTGGAAGATGAGCTAGTTTAGCTGATTTTGCTGCGATTTCCGCTGCCTTATGGGGCAAGGCATGATTACCTGCCCGCCACATATTGGATTGAGCTGATTCTTTGTGTGGTGACTCTAGTTAGTGCTATGAACCTCCCATCCCATTCTCAGCTCCTGCGGATCACCCTAGGTTGGTGGTTTGGAAGATGAGCTAGTTTAGCTGATTTTGCTGCGATTTCCGCTGCCTTATGGGGCAAGGCATGATTACCTGCCCGCCACAAATTGGATTGAGCTGATTCTTTGTGTGGTGACTCTAAGTAGTGCTGTAAACCTTCCATCCCATTTTCAGTTACTGCGGAGCACTCTAGGTTTGTTGTTTAGAAGATGACATAAAACGCCAGATTTTACTGCGATTCAGGCCGTCGTATGGGGCAAGGCCAGATTTCCTATCCTAGACCATATTAGTCCAATAGTCAGTAGTCAGTAGGGTCGGTTAAATGAAACCATGGTTACATATTTATTGATAGTGGGTTCAGTTAATATCATTGTTCAAATCTATGAATGGCACATTTTGTTATGCATACGTCTTATCACTTATGTGTGAGAACAGTTGAACGAGAATGGATGAACTATGAAATGAAGTGAGTACAAATATGAAACCCTAATTGGTTGTACCCCCTATGGGATACCCCACTATAGCCTACACAACAGCATAAGCTATAATGTTCTGACACACCCCCATAGGCAAAGTGGGGGAGAACAAGGGGTCACAAGACCAGTCAAGCAAAGCAAAGCAAAGCAAGCTCAGGGTGGATCACAAAGTCACCACACAGTCCGAGCACAGGGTCAAGGCCACACGGCCAGTTCACATGCAAGAGTACACACATATATATAAAGCTAGACAAGCAAGAGCAGGTATATATATATGTGAGAGTACAAGCAAGGTCAAGAGGAGAGCAAGTGAGGCAAGACGGACACAAGACCCAGCTGAGTGCAGAAGCGCTGATGATCACAAGGCGGAAGTGCCTTGGTGAAGACATCAGCAGTGTTGGCCTCAGAGGCCACGTATGCAAGCCGCAACTGTCCACGCTGCTGTAGCTCACGAGCAAGGAAGTAGCGGAGAGCAATGTGCTTTGTTCTGTGCTCCAGTCGCTGCTCTCGACACAAGGCCAACATGGCCTTGTTGTCTACGTACAGGACTGGAGGAGAACGAGGCGGCTCTCCAAGGTCGGTCAGCAAGTAGGTGAGCCAGCGAAGCTCCTGTGCAGCCATGGCCCCGGCGTAGATCTCAGCCTCACAATTGGAGCCAAGAACAGAAGACGAGCGAGTAGCCCGCCACGAAACAGAGCCGGAACCAAGGCTGAAGGTGTAACCCTGTGACGACCGCTGCGTAGCCTGGTTGTCAGCCCAAGAAGCGTCCGCATGCCCAGTGAGGACCACTGGACTCCGCCCTCCAAGCACTAGCCCCATGCCCGACGTACTGCACAGGTAGCGCAACACCTTCTTCGCTGCAGCCATGTGCTCTGGTCGGTGTCTCCCAGGAGCAACATAGCGTGCGAGAATGCTAAGAGGGTATGCAAGGTCAGGTCGTGTGCAGGTCATCAGGTACATGAGGCAGCCAACAAGCTCTGGGTACGGGCCACTCGACTCTACGGACTCATCAAAAGGCAGAGCTGAGAGCGAGTGGCGAGTAGACAGAGGAGTGGCCTGAGGCGAGGAGTACGTGAAGCCGAAGCGCTGAAGGACCTGCTGCACCATGTGTGACTGAGTCAGGGTAATGGTGCGGCGTGCTCTATCCTGGGTAATCTGCAAGCCAAGGTAGCTGCGCAGTTCACCCAGGTCTGTGCACGTGTGTCTCTTCTGCAGCTCGGACTTCACGTAGGCGAGTCCAGCAGTGTCAGCTGTGGCAAAGACCAAGTCGTCGACGTACACGAGGATGTAGAACGGCGGCAGAGAGGTGTCGGTGCGCAGAAACAGCAACGGGTCGGCAGTAGAAGGAGCAAACCCAAGAGCCGCAAG